ATCAAACAGTCCATAGAGAAATCCCATTATCTTTTAATCCTACCTTCCGTGAATTATTTGATGTCTCCAGTAGAGTTGGAAAGAGATCTGGAGATACGGGGTTATGCACTGGGCTATGAATTGCGATGTCAGCAGTTCAAAACCACCGGGGGCTCTGAGGGAGAGAAACAAGGTTTTCTCCTCCGGTGAAGAGCTGCCGAGCCTGGGGAACACAGGGGCCAGTTCCACCCTGTCCAATGGGGTCGCTGAGAGTCAGAGTGGACGGGAGGGCAGGGAGTTGGAAATGGCTTCAATGCAGTATTTCTTAGGTCTCATGAGTATTAACAACAAAATTTTTTTGTAAAATCTTTCTACATCGGACTGTAACATTATTAGTAACTGGGTGGGAGCTTTAAAATTTTTTTCCTCCTTCAATTACTACTTCATTCTTTAAAACGTTATTGATATAGATTCACAAATAATAATAACCAAAATAATGTAGTTAAAACAGCAAACATTTTGACAAAATCAGTAACTATAAAAACACCAGCAGCCTAAAACTGACTGTGGTGATACCATACACAACTCTTTTTAATATGATTGAACTAGTGAATTGTGATATATGAACTATGTCACTAAAACCATTATTTTTTATTGTTATTTAAACAAAAAACATTGGCAGCCATACCAGTGCCTGCAAACTAACAGCTCTGATCAGACACTATTAAAAGATTCAAAAAGTAAATTAGCATATTTTAATCCTTGTAGCTATGTAACTAGGTCCACAAAAAGTGCTTTTGTTAATTCTTAGAGGGATGCTTCTGTAAATTTCTGTGAAACACTGCACACAATTGTATAGACATGCATTCTGGTATCACTCCGCCGCCCCTCCACCCGTCTTATTGGTACAGTCTCTCCCTGTCGCACTCCTGGGTGAGGCCACTCAGAAATTTCACGTTAGGTGCTAACAGTACCCCTTTGTGTCATGCTTTGTAAAGTCAGACTGATTCTGTCAATCAACTCATCCTTAACTAAAGACCAAGGACGCCAAGAAAACGGCACACTCCAGAAGAGATCATTCTTCTAGAGGTTTCTTGGGGAGGAGGGCATTTTAGTGAATACTCGGGTACAAACATCAGCCCTGCCAATTTAAGAATGGAGTAGGAGAACATAAAGTGTCTCATGCCTGCAGACCAAATGACAACAGCTTGCGGAGGTGGCCTATGACTCACAGCTGGCCAACCACTGAAAAGAGTCGGGAATCTAATACAATGCTCATTTCCCTCCCTTTCCAGCCCGTCGCAGTAAATGGTGCTCCCAGAAACACTCCCACACCACCACGGAGCTGATTCCGAGGACAGATCAGAACTGTCCGTGCGGATTTCCGAGACTGTCAATCTCTGTCGGAGTAGAACGCCTCACCTTTCTCCGGCGGTGTGACAGGGTGAGGGGTTCCAGCCGCTGGCTGGCAGTGAATAGTCCAATGTATAATGCACTATGCCACCAGGGCTCTTACACCCAGGAAGAGAGAGATGATAGTCACCCTAAATCCCCAGGGACTTAGACAGCAAAGAAGGGTGGTAAGGGCATTTAACAACAGTTAGAAACCCTTCGGGGGTAGAATGAAACATTCTGCCCCTTCTACACAGCTATGGCAATAGCCCCATCTGTTTAAAATAGTTCTCCATACAGCTCCTGGCTAAGTGGTGTCCTGGTGGGTCTCCTGAGCCACAATGCTCAGTACTGCTAGAGTGCCCCGGGGTCTGAGGCCCCCTAAAGGTGCTGGGAAAGGCCTTGGTTATCATCCCTAGCGACCTCACTAAGGCACTCACAATCACAATACTTGGGAAGCAAGCTGGCAGAAAGCTCTTACGGCTCCCAAATCAAGCATGCCAGGAAAGAAAGAGTCCTACATACTTTATTCACCACAAATCACCCTTCCAAATGCCGTGTCATTCCTCAAGCAGCTTCGCCAACCACCTGACTAAGTGTCTCATCACACATCCTCTCCACACTCTTGCTTCATTTTCTTCATAGCACTTAGCATGATTATATAACATGTCTGCTTGCCCACGAAGATGAAAGCTATTGTTTTCTGTCTTCTTCACAGCTTTAGTCCCAGCATCCAGAAAGACACCCAGCACACCGCAGGGACTCACGCTTGCAGCAAATGCACCGCAGATCCCCACAGAGTAGGTACCAGTATCATTCCTCTGACAGAGGGAACTGACGCTGAGGGAAGTTAAAACACTTGCCAAAGGTAACTTAACTAAGGTAGGCAGTAACAGCAAACTCTAAAACCTGCCCTCTTCTTTTCTGTGATATACTGTCAGTCGATACACATTTTCTTGGCTTAAGATAAACATGTTTCAGAAACAGTGGAGATAATTATACAACATTGTGAATATACATTACACCACTAAGCTGCAGGCTTAAAAATGAAAAGGGAAAAGGAGGGGTTATTTTATACATATTTAACCACAATGGGAAATATGTCCATGAAAATCCCATTGTGAAAAAAAAATTTTTTTTCTTCTTCCCATCAAAGTGAACTTGTGTACACACGAAAAATTCAGAGCATGCTCACGGGCTCCTGCAATCTGTGCAATCCAACAAGGCTGCTGCTGCTGCTGGGTGGCAATGCTAGCAGTATGTATGCTCCCTGTCCACGGCCCGGGGAGAACAAAAATATAGAACATGGGAGTGAGAATGTGCACGAATGCCTTATTAAGAAATAACTCCGATGGGTACTGAAAATGGGAGCAGAGAGAAATCTGAAGTTTATTTGATCCATGGGTACCATAAAAACTTTGGCACCTTGTTGGCCTGCGGGCTTATAAAGCCCAAGGCAGAGACTGTCTCTTCCTGGTACTCTTGCACATAAGGACCTGTAGAAACACTCTCAACCTCAGACCAAGAAGAATTGGGGCCATGCTCCTGCTTTGTGCTGGTGTCCTACTCACTGGGCAAGGGCCATTAGTCAAGGGTCCTAAGAGTGTTCACGGAATGGCTGAGCAGGAATGTCTGGAAGGCATGCCTTCACCCTCCTGCTGCTTGTGCAAACGAGCCGTTTCCAGCTGTGGGAAACAGAAGAGCTGCCTGAGGACAGTTCTGCTCTTAAAGCGGGCTGTCCCGGTTCTATTTAAGCCCACACTCTAGGTCAGGTGTCCTCAAACCACGGCCTGCCGAGGACAGTTATCCAGCCCGTGGGGTATTTTTGCCCCGTTTTGTTTTTTACTTCAAAATAGGATATGTGCAGTGTGCATAGGAATTTGTTCAATTTTTTTTTTAAACTATAGTCCGGCCCTCCAACGGGTCTGAGGGACAGTGAACTAGGCCGGTTTAAAAAGTTTGAGGACACCTGCTCTAAGTGTATGGGTATTTTAGACAGGAGTTTTTGTTGGGGTGAAAGAGTGGGTGAAACTGGCATTTTTGAAATTAAAAGTTAAATTAACTCTGATAAAAAGCACTACTCTCTAGAGCAATGGTTCTCAACCTGTGGGTGGCAATCCCTTTGGGGGTCGAACGATCCTTTGACAGGGGTCGCCCGATTCATAATAGTAGCAAAATTAGTTATGAAGTAGCAATGAAAATAATTTTTATGTTTGGGGGGGATCACCACAACATGAACTGTATTAAAGGGTCAAGGCATTAGGAAGGGTGAGAAGGACTGCTTTAGAAGAAACGCCACGTTGGGAAAATGGTGCAAAAGAGATCGCATTGGCCATGGCTCTTCCATTTTATTCCTGCCGGGCACAGCACTGAGTACTGCGGCACAAGACTTCAGAACTATTCATTGGTAACAAGGTGCTTGTTCTCAATGAATGTTCTCCTATGAGGACAGATTGTCAGATGGCTTCAATTACAGGCATACAGATTGGGACCTTCATTCTTCCCTCCCAAGTTGGCAGGTAGCATAGTTTCTGGTACATAATTAGTGGTGTTTGTGCAAGACTGACTCAAGGGTATATACTGCAAAAATCAGTGTATGATAAGTCCGCCAGGTTGAGGTATGATCCTAACTCCACCTACTCTCTGAGGACCTGGTGGTGTTATAATAATTTAATACTATAGGTCCAGGTTTCATCTCATTAGCGCTTGCTCCAATGTACTGACAGCACGTCATCTCATACACACGAGGGGAGAATACGGGCAAACAGGAAAGGTTGAGTGCAATGAGCTATACTGCGGAAAACAAAACCAACGCAGTACAGGCAATGTTTACATGAAGAAAACACTATCACTCGCTTCCTTTTTCCAGTTTCCAAAACGGGTTTTTCTGTCGTTGTTGTTTTTCCCAATGGGAACACCACGACAAGGAGGATTCTAGCGATTTAGTAATTCCTGCCCCCAAACTACCAGTCAGGATTCAATTACAGACCCAAATGGCAATACTAGTGTCAAGCGGAATGCCTCTACATGGTTCAAACCTAAGTGTAGATTCAGATTCACCAGCTCTGACTCTATGCAGCCCAGGACTTGAGTACACACTAGCGTTGGCAAGAACACTGATGAATACAACAGACACGCGCCATCTTCGACTCCCCTCCCTGATGGTGTTCTTGCGCACGAGGCACTCGCGGGCAAGCCCTGAGTGCCACAGGAGCTGCCATCACCGAATGTCTTCACCCTGGGTCCGAGAGTGAGTATGACCTAAAAGCCCTGTGCCAGGTCATTTGTTGGGTCACAAAGGTCATGCTTGGTTATTGGGATCCCCATCTCAGTCACAATTCAAGGGAAACACTCCCAGACCTGTCCTCCCCCGCCCCCCCCATCCATAGTCTTTGGAATCATATCCAACTGCAAATGGGTTTTGAAAACAAGCTACACACATGAACTCTCATAGAGAAACCGTCCCAGCATCGTTTAAGCTTCTCCTCATAATGGCTGTTGGTTGGAATGTGGTATGCTCCAAAGATGGCTTTCTCCTACCTTTCCAAAGGGAAATCATCTGAAACCCCCCCTCCCCATTCATGTAAAATATATCCTTTCAGCATCATTTGACCGAAGTGTAAAGCAACCTGGTTGGCCTCCATGCATCCGATGGCATCTTCCAAGAGTGAAAACTCCACGCAGACATAGCCATAGTCGTAACCTGGGGACAGCATTTAAATACAGACGGGAGTGGTGTTAGTGCCTTGCAAACACAAAAGACACACTTAAATCCCCTGCTTCTGAACCCTTAAATACCCCCCCAGCTTAGCCCCGCCCTCCCCTACACTAGGCAAAGCTACTACTCCAAATAGAAAAAAAAAGCAATGAAGAAAGTCTGGGTGTTTCTGGACTTGGACATATGTCCCCCAATGAGTTTGTCTATGAACCAAGATCCTCTGCCGTCTTTGTAACCCTGACGGTCTGGTGAAGGGGTCGCAGAACTGGGCATCCCACAGAAAGTGCAGGAGGGGACCCGAAACATTTTAAACGTGAGCTGAATCTTCTAGGAAAACAGAGCTAGTAAGACAGGAAAGCATCTGGAAAAAGTCCGTCCTGGGAGAAGAGGGAGGCACAATTTACCCCACAGCTATGCTAGAGAACCACCACTTTTGAAGCAGAAACCACCTTCAAAGACAGAAGTGCGATGCACTGAAGCAACTATTTTGCTTAGACACCCCAAGAGACTTCTGGTTGGTGGGAGCAGAGCACTGCAGGTCTCCTCTTTTTTTATTTCCTTGTTTCAACTCAAGTCATAAACCAGCTAAAGTCATTATGAAAGGAAAAGCATTAATTAAGTACAAATTACTGGGTCCAAAATTGTGCTTTTATGTACAAAGAGGGGTGGTGGGCTGGGCTGGGAGACAGCAGTGGTTAGGCATCAACTCATGTGCACCTACCCTTAGTTATAAAACACCCTTCCCTCTCGCTCCTGAGCAAATGTCATTTGCAGCACAGGTCTGCAGCTCTCATGACTCTAGGGAATGGGAAGTCATAGGATTTACAGGCTGCTGAACTCTAATATTCACGGTTCCTATACTTTGCCTAATATTGACACCATAAGACTATGAAAGACACTGGTGGCGGCAATACTGTTCAAGCGGCTTCCAATCTTTCTCCAAGCTTCACAAGATAGAGAAACTCATCTGTAAGAGTACATGTTGCTGGCTGGGGGTGGCCTAAGGGGCGCGTGCGTGAAAAACCAGGTTAAAAACAACACAGTCCTAGGACAATTTCAAGCACAAAGCATAAAAATGGAAAACGGATATCCTTGAAATCAAAGACCAAATTCACTGCCACTGAGTTGACAGCAACTTATCGCAACACCATACAGTAGGACAGAATTGTCCTTGGGGTTTCTGAGGCTCTAATCTTTATGGAGCAGATGGCCACATTTTTCTCTCACAGACTAGTTAGTGGGGTCAAACTGCTGGACTTCAGTCAGCAGTCAAGTTATCTTAACCACTGTGCGAAGCCCGATACACACACACACACACACACACACACACCCCGTTTTTTGAATACTAATTATAAAACCTAGCGCAATAAAAAGCACAGTCTTCTTTTTTCCTGTAGATGGAAGGTCTTTATTTGCAAACACGTAATCAGGGAGAGCGCGAACGCAGTCCCCCAATTCCACAAATTATGCAGTCGAGTTTCCTACATTTGGGGAAATTGCAGGGGTTAGCACATCCGGGGTGCAATGGATAAGCCTCACCCTGGGAATACCACCTTCGTGATCATGGTATCTCCCCTAAAAAGCACAGTCTTAAAAAGAAAAAAAAAAAAGACCAAAGTTGGTGAAATGGGTTTGGGCTCCTTGGAATGATAGCTTGAAATGTCTTATTACATCGCAATCAAGTTTTATTTCATATTTATGAATACTCTTTTAAGTTCATTAAAAAATGTGACTCTGATACGAGGTTAACCACGGCTTTCAGCTCGTAGGACCTATCAGGTAGAAGAAACACAGGCTCCCAGAAACTGCAACACCCCCTTTGGCTGAGGTTTTGCTATCATACTTTCTCATCTCTGATCAATATGAATTAAAATTAATCCCTCCGATTTCTGTTCCAATTTACCACCAAAATCAGATTATTTGAAAGATAAAAACTATTTGAGAGAGGCAGTATTTATGTTGTGTGTATCCTACTAACAATGGAAACTCTTTGATCACTAATTACTTTCAAATGAATTCTCTCGTATCAACCCTAAACACCACACATACATTTTACCCAGAGTTCGGAAGGGCCCTGGGAAACGCTGTAGAATAGCTGTAACCATAAAGGCCTCTTTTATCACCAAACATCTACCGAAAATACTCAAAGTACACATCCACCACAGAAAGGGTTAACCCAGAACAAGTTGTGAGCATTCCTGTGTCCTGATTATCTTTACAGAGCTTCTCAAGGTATGTCGAGGTAAATGGAGAGCAGCCCTCTCTCCACAATAGCCAAGTGAAAAAGATAGGGAACACACATCAAGGTGGCAGAGCCCCAAGTTTCTTTTCCCTGCTTAAAGAAATGCCTACAGTGGCTGAGAGGGAATCCATAGAACCCATAGTAACAGTCATACTTTGCTCAAGGACACATCTGATACTGAAATCACTGGGAGGCAAAAGAGCCTGCAGAAATCATATGAGCATTTCCTAGCATCTTTGGTATAGGCTATATCAGGCTGTATTTCATCCCGTTTCAATCTAAACTGCAACTCACTTTCCTTCCCTGGAAGTTACTTATCAAACAAGAATAGAGTAAGTTGTTTTTTTTTTTGTTTTATAGAGAGGTCAAACTCTAATACCTAAAACTCTTTTTTTCCAACTTATTTTGTTATTCAAAGATGACCCAATCTTTATCCCAGGCATTTTGTGAGCTGAAGACTTAATGGTAGTACTATAAAGATTTTTGAATAGTCAACATATAATATTAATGATAGTTCTAAGTAACATTAATAGAGCAGTTGTTAGTGCAAGGCTCTATTCTAAATGCTTTACATATATTAGTTTAATCCTCATAGATAAAAACTATTAAACTCCTTTTACCCATGGTGAAGGAGGCAAAGAAAATATACTAAGTAATTTGTACATCACCACCTCAATGTTTAACTATCAATACTAGATTCCAACCCAGGTATTCCATATCTACTACACTGTACTACACCTCTCATCTTTTAAGATCCTGGTTGTTTAAGTAGCCTGAATTCCAAACTCTGCAAAGTCCAATTACCCTGTCATTGGGTCCCCATGAGCCGAGCACAGCTAAGAATATGTATATCATTAAGAAATACTGGAATCAGGTCTTGAGGACGATGTTCCTGATTAGAGCAGCCAGTCAACAGAGAGGACCACATGGCCGGCCCCACTATGAGACA